AAATGTTGCCAGATTCACTGTAAGTGTTTGGTTGTCTGGCCCTTGTTTATTACTTTATATTTGCATTTCTCTGGGATCAGAGATGAAAATTTGGCTGCTGCTTTGTACTGTCAGAAAATAATGGATTTCCTTATTTCAACAAGGAGATTCAACACAAAATTGGGCTGTAGCTTTTAATGAGCTTGGTGACCTTCAAGGGACCAGTCCAAACACATTTTGTGTTACAAGTAAGAGCAGATGTTTTTAAGTATATGCAGAATACAGTGAGCCCTACCCTAAACCTCCTCTCATTGCTGTTGTCTTCTCAAGAGTCATTTTGTGACCAAATTAGGTTCGAGGTGGCAAATGTGGTCCTTTACATTTATCATGCTGCCCGTTAGAGGGCAGTAGTATACAGACTCAGGAGCCAGAAAACCAAATACTATTAGATTCTGGGGCATGAGTCTTTTTCAAATCTTCTAAACACAGCTAAATATGTCATAATTTAACAAAGTTAACCCCTAATCTGCATTTTGGTGTAAAATATCTATACAACTACAGATATTCAACTTTGAACTTTGTTTTAACATGATCTTTTAAATGCTTATAATTCTAAATTGTGTATGGATTTGGTTTACAATATTTCTAATTGCTTCTGGGAAGACTGTTAATAACTTATAACAACATCTTTTTTACATAAATGTTTTCTATTTAAAACTTATTGGAGGACTGGGCGTGGTGGCTCATTTCTGTAATCCCAGCACTTTGGGAGGCCGAGGCGGGCGGATCACAAGGTCAGGAGTTCGAGACCAGCCTGACCGACATAGTGAAACCCCATCTCTACTAAAAATACAAAAGAGTTAGCCGGGCGTGGTGGTGCACACCTGTAATCCCAGCTACTTGGGAGGCTGAGGCAGAAGAATCACTTGAACCCAGGAGGCAGAGGTTGCAGTGAGCAGAGATCACACCACTGCACCCCAGCCTGAACAACAAAGTGAAACTCTGTCTCAAAAACAAACAAAAAACATATCAGATACTACTACTATAATTACTCAAATATAAGTAGTTGGTAATATGATGGAAATCTTGGAAGAAAGAGATGGCTTTAGTTATAGAAGCATGGTACCATGCCATAGAATATGCAGAGAATAAGAGAATAAATACTTTTAAAATGAATGTAGCCAAAATTTTTGGAAAACAGACTTTAGATTCATTCTGGGATGGGGTGTGTGTGTGTGTGTGTGTGTGTGTGTGTGTGTGTGTTCTAACAGCTTTACTGTAACAGCTCATTCAATACTCATAAGAACCTTATGAAGTAGGTACTATATTATTATCTTCCTTACAGATATGAAAGCTAAAACACAGGGGTAAGTGAACTGACACTGCACCAGGTCACAGTACTAGTAAGTGGCCAAGCTAGGGTTTGAAACCAGGCGTTCTGAAATCAGAGATTATGAACTAAAAATACTTTGTTAAACTACCTCTCTCATTGAATTATCTAACCTTTCCCCCTGAATTGTCATGCCACCTATCATATTTTCTCACATAGTCCTGTTTTGGGACTCTCTGTTCTATTCCATTCGTCCTTTTAACTCTTCACTAATAACAGTTGTTGTACTGTGTTAATTATTAAAGGTTTATATAAGTTTTGATACCTGGAAATCTTAACTCTCCCACTTAACTCTTCTTCAGAATTTCCTTGACTGTTTTTGGTCTTTGTATGTCCCTATAAAGTTTAGGATGAACTTACCAAATTACAGGACCAACTCTTTAAAGATTTTGACTAAAAGTGATATGTGCATCCTTCTTTTTCTTTTTTTTTTTTCCTTTTTTGAGATAAGGTCTCACTCTGTCACCCAGGCTATAGTGTGGTGGTGCAATCACAGCTCACCACAGCCTCCATCTCCCAGGCTTGAACTATCCTCCTCCCTCAGTCCCCTGAGTAGCTGGGACTACGGGCAGGCATCACCATGGCTGGCTAATTTTTTGTTTTTTGTAGAAATGGGATCTCACTATGTTGCCCAGGCTGGTCTTGAACTCCTGGACTAAAGTGATTTGCCCACTTCGAACTCCCAAAGTGCTGAAATTACATAAGCATGAGACACTGTGCCTGGCCAGTGCATCCTGCTTTTTCTAAACCACCGCAAGTCATTTTTGGAACAAGACAAGACAGATAATGTAGTGATGGAGAAAAAAATATATATATATAAAACTAGAAAAAATACTGGTGTTACTAAGATTATTTCTACTTTTATTTTTCTATGTTTTAAATTTTATTATAATATTTACTTCGTGGGAAATAGATTTAGAGTTTTAATTTTATTATAAAGAAAGTATAAATAGAAACCAAAGTAATGAATATACTTTAAATAATTCAGACCTCAAGATCCACATGAATTACCTGACCCGCCTGAAAAAAAGGTATCTACCCAATATATTTTAGAGAATTGGTATTTATTATTTTTGAGAAGACAGTATGTGGGTAAGAGTCATGCCTAAAGAACAGAGAACAAAAATACTACTTTTTGAAAAGGGCAGTTTTAGACACTACAGGCCAGTGACTGTTAAATGTTGACTTGGTGTTAAATCCAGACAGAATTCTAAAACAGTTTTTCAACACTGATTCAGAAAGAGTGATTACTAAGAGTTGGACTAAGGATTTACTTACTTATTTTTCCCTGTCTTTGCTAGATATGGGGGAGAAATACAGAGCATGTATGAGGGCTACTTTGGCAAGAACAGATTTTAAATCTGATTTCACCTTCTGAGGAGCCTTATATAAGATAAGCTTAAGTATATAACTTAGGCAAAGTTGTTTGTCCTGCATCACATAATAAGGAGTAGAGCAAGAACTGGAACCCATGTGTTTTGACACTTAAAGCAGTGGGAGGAAGCAGTGTGTTTCTGTTATATTGCTGAGACATACTAACTCTATCATCTGCCTCAGCCCAACGTTTTCTTTATCCAGGTCTGGGCCATATAACCAAAAAGAATTGTGGGGAGCAGCCCTCAAAGGTGATGGCAGTTGGCCATTTTAACTATCAAGAGGATGTATGGGATAGTATTGAGTTTAATCTATGCATCAATAACATAGGTTCAGTGGGAATAAGGAATTTTCTGGCTGCAAAGAGTAAGTGTTAGAATTGGTCAAGAATAGTTGTAAAGCAGCCTTCCCTAGAGAACTTTATAAAAGAATGGATTCCATTCTACCTGGAGTGTTTGAGATCTAATCCTGCTTAACTAGATGACTAAAAAGTTCATGCCAACCCCAAGAGTCTATAAAAGTATTAGCTGACACATTTAATTCAATTCTTGCAATTCTTATGTGTGTTCAACATTGTGTCCCGCTCATTAAGATGCAGTAGGAAGAGATTTAGAGTGCCTGCTATGTGCCAGGCAGTTTCTAGATGCAGTAGGTATACATCTACCCTCATAGAGCTTTATTTTCTGGAGAGGATAGACAATAAACAAGTTAAATAAAATGTAAAGTATGTGAGACAGTGATAAGTGATATAGAGAAAAATATAACAGGGATAGGGAGTGTGTTGGGGGAGAGAGTATAATTTTAGATAAGGTGATCAGGAAAGGTGGCTTTTGAGCTAAGAAATGCAAGAAAGGAAGGAGGATGCTGTACAGATTCATGGGGCACAGTCATTCCAGGCAGAGAGAACAGTTAAGTGCTCTCTTAAGGCAGGAACAAGAAGTTCTGTGTGTCTAGAGCAGAAAAAATGAAAGAAATCATGGCAGAACACATCACATAGAAAGGCCAGATCTCGTCGGGCTTTGTAAGTTGTTTTAAGAACCTTGGGTTTGGCCAGGCGCGGTGGCTCAAGCCTGTAATCCCAGCACTTTGGGAGGCCGAGACAGGTGGATCACAAGGTCAGGAGATCGAGACCATCCTGGCTAACCCGGTGAAATGCCGTCTCTACTAAAAAATACAAAAAACTAGCCGGGCGAGGTGGCGGGCGCCTGTAATCTCAGCTACTCGGGAGGCTGAGGCAGGAGAATGGCGTAAACCCGGGAAGCGAGCTTGCAGTGAGCTGAGATCCGGCCACTGCACTCTAGCCTGGGCGACAGAGCGAGACTCCATCTCAAAAAAAAAAAAAAGAAAAAAAGAACCTTGGGTTTTATTGTGAGTGAGATGACGAGCCATTGGAATGAATAGAATGGTTATGTGATGAATTGACATACTCTTAACTAGATCATGTAGTCTGCAATGTTGAATGAAGGAGTACAGGTGGAAGCAGGGGAACTAGGAGACTGTTGTAGTGCTGTAACATGACGTGTTGACTTGAACCAAAGTGTTGTGAAACTGGCCAAGTTGTAAACATTTTAAAGGTAAAGTCCGCCAGATCTGCAGAGGAACGGATAATTGGGTGTTAGAGAATGGCATTAAAGATAACTCTAAGCTTTTTGTCTAAGTGATGGGAAAAGATAAATGTGCCATATACTGATGTGAGGAAGACTGAACAAAGCAGGGATAGAGGTGGGTGAAGAGTAAGAGCTCCATTCTGGACAACATAGGTGTAGAATTTTTTTAAAAATCCAACTGAAAATATTGTATAGAGAGTTAAACATGTGGGTATGGGGTTTAGGAGAAAGCTTGTTTAAAGAAAAAAACTTGCGAATTGTTGGTGTTTTTATGGTAAAGATAGGAGACTGGAAGTGATCACCAAGGAAGGAGTGTTAACAGAAAAAAAGACCCAAGGACTGAGCCCTGAGGTATTCACATTGTTAAAGAGAGTAGGGAGATGAGAAATAGACAAAGATGTAGCAAGAAGACCTAGAAACCAAGTAAAGAAAGTGTTCGTGGAAGAGGAAGACAGATGTCCAGCTGTATCAGATGCTGCTGATAGAGCATGTAAGAAGAAGTAAGATTTTGGTACTTCATGTTTTATGGCGTATGTATGAATGTATGTATAACCACCCAGCTCGTGTCTCTGTAAGCTCCCACTCCCTTCCTGGCGATCTGCCATTGTTATTTTAACTTGGAATAATTTTACCTATGTCTGATACTACAGGAGAATCCAAACCCTCATATGGCATTCCAGAAAGTTCCGCGGCCAACAGAAGGATCCCACTTGCGAGTTCATATTCTTCCTTTCCCAAAGATTAATGAAGCCCGGGTTCAGGAATTAATACAGGAAAACCTTGCTAAGAACCAGAATGCACCTCCTGCCACAAGAATAGAAAAGAAATGTGTTGTGCCAGCTGGTCCACCTGTTGGTATGTATTTGTCTGTCTGTTTTAAGAGTAAACTTTTTATAAAGATGTAAGACCCAAAAAGGAAAAGTGTACAATTTGATGAATTTTCACAAAGTGAACAAACTCCTGTAGCTAGAATCAGAGCATTATCAATACTTAGAAACCCTGTTTCATTCACTGCCTCCCAAAAAGGGTAATCATAACCCAACCGCTGCCACTATAGAATCTTTTCTTTTTTTAATAACAGCTTTATTGAGATATAAGTTACATACCGTAAATTCACCAATGTAAAATGTACAGTTCCTTGATTTTTAGTATATTTACACACTCATTCAACCATTATCACTATTTAATTTGAGCATATATATATATAGAGAGAGAGAGATTCACTCTTGTTGCCCAGGCTGGAGTACAATGATGTGATCTTGGCTCACCGCAACCTCTGCCTCCTGGGTTCAAGCAATTCTCCTGTCTCAGCCTCCTGAGTAGCTGGGATTACAGGCATACGCCCCCTCACCCAGCTAATTTTGTATTTTTAGTAGAGACAGGGTTTCTCCATGTTGGTCAGGCTGGTCTCGAACTCCTGATCTCAGGTGATCTGCCCACCTTGGCCTCCCAAAGTGCTGGGATTACAGGCGTGAGCCACTGCACCTGGTGAGAATGTTTTTATAACCTAAATAGAAACCTCACATCTATTAGCAGTCACTCCCCATTTCCTTCCCAAACCATCTCCTCCTCAGCATTATACTGTAATCTACTTTCTATTTTCATAGCTTTACCTATTCCGGACATTTTATATAAATAGAATTATACAATATGTAATCTTTTATAACTGGCTTCTTTCATTTAGCATAATATTTCAAAGGTACATCTATGTTGTAGCATGTGTCAGTATTTTGTTTCTTTTTTGTTGTTGTTGTTGTTTTGAGATGGAGTGTCGCTCTGTCGCCCAGGCTGGAGTGCGGTGGCTCCGTCTTGGCTCACTGCAAGCTCTGCCTTCCAGGTTCACGCCATTCTGCTGCCTCAGCCTCCTGAGTAGTTGGGACTACAGGCACCTGTCACCACGCCTGGCTATTTTTTTTGGATTTTTAGTAGAGACGGAGTTTCACCGTGTTAACCAGGATGGTCTTGATCTCCTGACCTCATGATCCGCCCACTTCGGCCTCCCAAAGTGCTGGGATTACAGACATGAGCCACTGCACCTGGCCTCGTTTCTTTTTAAATGTCTGAATAATACTCCATTGTTTGGATATATATCACATTGGTTATTTATCCATCAGTTGATGGATATTTGAGTTGGTTCTACATTTTGGCTATTATGAATAATGCTGCTGTGAACATTTATGTGCAAGATTTTGTGTAGATATGTTTTCAGTTCTCTTGGATGTATACTTAGGATTGGAATTGCTGGGTCATATGGTAATTCTATGTTTAATGTTTTGAGGAGCTGCCAAACCATTTTCCAAAGCGGTTGTGCCATTTTAGATTTCTGTCAGCAGTGTATAAGGGTTATAATTTCAGCCACTGATACTGAACATTTTTTCATGTACTATTGGCCATTTCACTGTCTCTTTGCCCATTTTGAAATTGGGCTATTTGCCTTTTTATTACTGAGTTGTAAGCATACTCTGTATATTCTACAGATAAGTCCCCTACCAGATATATTATTTGCAAATTTTTCCCCAATCTGTGAGTTGTCTTCCTTTACTTTTATCCCTTTTTTCAGCTATTGAGGAAGATATATTAAAATCTCCCATTATAATAGCAGAATTCCCTATTTCTCAGTTTTTCCTGTTTTTCTTGATATATTTTGAAGTTGGTTAATTAGGTGCATGTATAAAATGTGAATTAGTTGGATTCTCCAAAGGAAAAAAATTCCAGATAGTAAACATATTTATTATAAGAAAATATGTTTTCTGACTGGGTGTGATGGCTCACGCCTGTAATCCCAGCACTTTGGGAAGCTAAGGTGCGTGGATCACTTGAGGTCAGGAGTTCAAGATCAGCCTGGCCAACATGGTGAAACTCCATCTCTACTAAAAATGCAAAAAATAGCCAGGCATGGTGGTATGCACCTATAGTCCCAGCTACTTGGGAGGCTAAGGTGGGAGGAGAATCACTTGAACCCGGGAGGCAGAGGTTGCAGTGAGCCAAGATCATGCCACTGCACTCCAGCCTTGGTGACAGAGCAAGATTCTGTCTTAAAAAAAAAAAAAAAAAAAGGAAAAAAAAAGAAAATATGTTTCCTAATAACTCAGCCTAAAGAAAATTTAAAATACTGCTAAAGATATTTTAGAATTAAAAGTTTATAAACATAAAGATGTTGCTCTCTCAATGAAGTATGTGTTATTGAAGATTGTAAGTTTTCTATTCTAATATGGATAGATTTTCAGTTTATGCCACCAACCTATGTGTGTGGGAAGCACCAGAGCCCACAATTATGAATGAGCATTTCAGAGAGAAAAGTCATGCAAAATAATCAGTTTAACCAGAAAATTAATGTTACATGATTAAAAATTATTTGAAGAAACTGGTAAAATTCAAGTAAGGGCTATAGTCTCATTCATTGTATTGTGCCAGTTGTTTTCCTGATTCTAATAAAACATAATTATGAAAGATGTCACCATAGAGGGAAGCTGGGTGACGAGTACAAGGATCTTCTTTGTATTATGTTTGCACCTTATTGTAAGCATATAATTATTTTTATAAAAATGTTTAAGACTGGGTGCGGTGGCTCATGCCTGTAATCCCAGCACTTTGGGAGGCCAAGGTGGGCGTATCACCTGAGGTCGTGAGTTCAAGACTAGCCTGAGCAATATGGAGAAACCCTGTCTCTACTAAAAATACAAAATTAGCCAGGTGTAGTGGTGCATGCCTGTAATCCCAGCTACTTAGTAGGCTGAGGAAGGAGAATTGCTTGAACCCAGGAGGCAGCCAAGATCGCGCCATTACACTCCAGCTTGGGCAACAAGAGCGAAACTCTGTCTCAAAAAAAAAAAAAGTTTAAAACATTATTTGAAGAATATAGGTTTGGTATTGATGAGATGAAAGGAATACTAATGAGTAAAATATAATAGTCTTTCTTCTTAGGTATGGAAGAAGGTAAAGGGATTGGGCCTTTAGAATCCAAAGAGTAGCCTTAAAGTATAAGTAGTCTTTTTGGCTTGAGAACCATTGATACTGTTCTCACTTATAAATGGGAGCTAAGTAATGTGTACACATGGACATTAGGTGTGGAATAATAAGACACTGGAGACTCAGAAGGCTGGGAGGGTGGGAAGGAGTTGAGGGATGAGAAATTACTTAATGGCTACAATATACATTATTCTGGTTGATGGCTACACTAAAAGTCCAGACCACCACTATGCAGTACGTCCATGTGACAAGGCTGCACTTGTACCCCTTAAATTTATACAAAAAAAAGAATTATTGATACTACCTCATTTAAACAAATGACATAGTATAGTTCTTTGTGAAAGTATAAATTTTGTATAAATACTACTTTGATTTATATCCTTCTAATATTATTTTAATAAGTTAAATTTATTTAGGTAACCAGCTTAGTAGCCTAGGTAATACATTAGAATTTTCTAACCCTATGGTAAAAGGTGAAAGGTGCTGAGTTTACATGACTAAAAAGTGACTTTCCTAAGCCAGTATAGCAGTTCATTGATCATGATTATTTCTCTTTTTTTGCACTACTTCTTTCCTTCAAGTCACCTCTACTCAAATGTGTAATATCTAATATTTTGTGGAATGTAGTTTTTCTTTAGTAATATCTTAGAAATATTAACAATATTACTAGTTACAAAGTTTCAAATAGATGTTTGCCCTTGTTTAATATAACTTTACTTTGCAATGTGAATTAGTTCGCATAAAAGTTAAGTGTCTCATTAGAATCTATCCTGTGAAATTATTAATCGACTAGCCTGATACTTCAGCACTGCAACATGTAATCAAAATAATGATGTGGAATATTTTCAATGCTCTGTAATAAGAGAAAAAATAAAGTGTAGGTCATATCAATAGTTTCTGTTTGTTTGTTTTCTAATAAGAAATGTGGTCTCACTCTGTCACCCAGCTGCAGTATAGTAGTGCTGTCCTAGCTCACTGCAGCCTTGGACTCCTGGGCTCAAGTGATCTTCCCACCTCAGCCTCCCGAGTCACTGGGATTACAGTGCAAGGTACCATGCCTGGCTAATTTTTGTATTTTTTGTAGAGAAGGGGCTTGCTGTGTTGCCCAGGCTTGTCTCAAACCTCTGGGCTCAAGGGATCATCCCACCTCAGCCTCCCAAATTGCTGGAATTATGGGCGTGAGCCTCCACACTCAACCTACAGTCTTAAAGTAATAGTCTCTTTGCTTTTGTAATTACCAAAGGAGTTTAATTTATTTGTGCTTTCTTTATATCCTTTTACTAGTTTCAATAATGGACAAGGTGACAACAGTTTTCAACAGTGCACAGAGACTAGAAGTTGTCAGAAACTGCATCTCATTCATATTTGAAAATAAAATTTTGGAAACTGAAAAGGTAATGAAATATCATCTTTCCCAAGTAAGCGTTTATCATTTCCCTTTCAGATTTACATGCTGAAGTTACCAGCTTTCGCTTCTTTTCTTCAACGGAGTCTCCCTCTGTTGCCCGAGCTGGAGTGCAGTGGTACAATCTCGGCTCACTGCAAGCTCCGCCTCCCGGGTTCATGCCATTCTCCTGCCTCAGCCTCCCCAGCAGCTGGGACTACTACAGGCACCCCCCACCACGCCTGGCTAATTTTTTTGTATTTTTAGTAGAGACGGGATTTTACCATGTTAGCCAGGACAGTCTCGATCTCCTGACCTCATGATCCGCCCGCCTCAACCTCCCAAAGTGCTGGGATTACAGGCGTGAGCCACCGTGCCCGGCCAGCTTCTCTTCTTTAATTCTGTCCCTTTTCCTAATAAAGTCTCCTCTCATTGTTTGGATCATTTTAAATGAATAGTGTCTAAGATACAAAGCTGTTGGGCCAAGCTGAATTATATGACCAGCAGAAAAATATTCATAGTAATTTTTTCTCTCAAACTTTTAAACATAACCCTAACCCTAACCATTGTTCACTAAACACTATTTTGGCATATTACTTAGAAACTTAACATTTTATTTATTTTAGTTTTTATTTTTGGAGACAGAGTCTTGCTGTGTCACCCAGGCTGGAGTACAGTAGCGTGATCTTGGCTCACTGCAGCCTCTACCTCCCGGATTCAAGTGATTCTCCTGCTTCAGCCTCCTGAGTAACTGGGACTACAGGCATGCACCACTGCACCCGGCTCATTTTTGTATTTTTAGTAGAGATGGGGTTTCATCATGTTGGCCAGACCGGTCTCGAACTCCTGGCCTCAAGTGATCCAGCCACCTCAGCCTCCCAAAGTGCTGGAATTACATGTATGAGCCAACACGCTTGGCCAAAACTTAACATTTTAATATAATTTTATGTATTGCAAAGAATCTAGTTAGAATATGTAATGGATTATAAGAACTGTAGTATTCAACTTAAATGTGCCTCCTTAGAGCATGTTTTCTTGCCTTGTTCAGTGAAACATGCTGAACATAATATAACCCTTTCTTACTGACTCATTGTCATAGTTCTGAATATCTATTTTCAGGGACTGGTAAAGCTTATAGAAATGTTTACCTTTACCCTAACTGACCCAGTGCCCTTTACATTTTGTGCTTTTTGGTTTCTGTGTTTTCTTATAGTTGGAGTCTTTCACTTCTCTTGCTTTCAACTTCCACATCCTATTTCTTATGCCTGCCTTTAGTGATATCATGCCCTTCTACTTCCTTCTTATTTTCTCCTTTGTTCTGATTTTTTAGCTAAATAAGCTTATTATTATTATATGTGAAGTAAATTAACTAAATCCTACATGGTGAACTGAAGGAGGCATCTTTATGGATGTTCTTGTTGTAAAGTGAAAAGAGTTTTAATGCATACACCTAGAGATAATCTATTTTTGCAACTCCGAGTCCTTTTTCTTTCCTTTTTTATGATATTTAAATGAAAAGAGATTGTAGAACTTTACAGTCATAAATTAAAGCTGAATAGTGATTAAGCAGCCAACCAGTTTAAAAGTATGAAATCACTTGTATTTCTTATTGTTTTATTTTTTCTTTCTGTTCTTGCCATGGAAAATTGACTAGTTATAGAAAGAAGATGTCTTACGTATCTGTGGCTTTGACTCATAATCTGAAGCAACAGTCAATTTGGTAACCAAAGTTTTATTAAGTTGAAGAAAAAAAAGTGAAATTAAATGTTTTTCCATTTATCACATAATTCTCTTATATTTCTTGCTGGTTTACGTATAAAAATAACTACAAATCTATTTTATCATTGGTCTTACTAATAAATCACCTCTTCCCTAGGAGTTTAATTTTATTAATAACTGTGTTAAATAAATTACAGGGTGCATTTGAATTTTCAAGATGATTGTTTGAAAGTTATTGTTTCCCCTAGTGATACCATTTGGTCATTTGTACCTCTCTTGTCCTCAGACCCTTCCTGCTGCACTCAGAGCCCTTAAAGGAAAGGCAGCAAGACAGTGTCTCACTGATGAGCTGGGTTTGCATGTCCAGCAAAACCGGGCAATATTAGACCATCAGCAGTTTGACTACATAATAAGGATGATGAATTGTACTCTACAGGTAATTTGTAGTTCTTTCAGATTATTCCTCTCATTTGAGAATACTTTTCATTTTTCCAGAATATTTTGTAATTACCAGTATATCAGTTCTTGAACTTACCACAGCTAATAGGATGAAGCGTCAGTATCTATATCATTTCTGTCAAATACTTTTTATTACTTGGCATAAATATTAAGAGTGTTTTGTTCTTTCTTTGTTTTCTCTCTGAAAATGCTAGATTATTTTACTAGTTTTGTAATATAAGCAAGTTCTTTGAAAATGAGAAGTCGTCTTTAAAGCATTCAGTTGTATATTCATGTCTGTAGTCACATCAGCCCTTTTCAGTCAGTTTTCAGTTGTACTGTTCAGGCAGAGGACAATGAATGGTGGATAATCCAAATGATAAATTAACTACTCAATTAAGTATTTAAGTACTTTGTTTGTAAAGCACAATAACAAAATTTCCACTTGGCTTCAAAATATGTATATGATCTTTCAGAAACAAACTTCCCACAAAATAGTGAAGACAATTTAGGAGAAGCTAATCTTGTTTCCTTATCCTGCCTCCCTTGTTAGATAGTCTTTAACATTGGCATTCTGCCGAGAGGTAATGTAAAGTTCCTCTCTCAAACATTTTGCCCAAGATGGAAATGTAATTAAATATTAAAACTGTGGGATCCTCTGTGGGACTCCAGAAAAAGTAAATAAATGCATGTTAAATATTGGTACATTGGAAAGCAAGAATTATAGGATATAATTAATCAAATTTATGAATGAAACAAGGCCTAAATAAATGAGATTTATAAATGTGCATGGAATGGAAGACTCAATATGTTAAAGATGTCAATTCTCCCCAAAACAATCTACAGAGACAATGCAGTTCCTAGCAGAACCTTAAATAGAAGAATAAAAGCCTTAAAACTACCAACATACTCCTAAAGAAAAACAACAAAGTGTAGCAGTTTACCTTGTCAGGTATCAAAAATTTAGTTTAAGATTATATTACTTGGCCAGGCGCAGTGGCTCACGCCTGTAATCCCAGCACTTTGGGAGGCCGAGGTGGGCGGACCACAAGGTCAGTAGTTTGAGACCAACCTGGCCAGCATGGTGAGACCCTGTCTCTACTAAAAATACAAAAATTAGCCTGGCGTGGTGGTGGGTGCCTGTAATCCCAGCTACTCCGGAGCCTGAAGCAGGAGAATCACTTGAAACCGGAAGGCGGAGGTTGCAGTAAGCCGAGATCGCGCCACTGCACTCCAGCCTGGGTGAAAGAGCGAAACTCCGTCTCAAAAAAAAATAGTATATTAATATTATATTATTTAAGATAGTGTAGAATTGGCACACTTATAAACAAATTGACCGACAGAATAAAATAGAAAGCCCAGAAACAAATGCACACATATATGGAAACATTATTTATGACAAAACTGGCACTGGCAGTGAAAAGATGAGCAGTTTAATTAATAGTGCTGGGACATGTACACATAATATACCATTGATACAAAAAATGCATACATACCTCCTACCACACACAAGAATCATTTCCACATGTATTAAAGACTTAAATATGGAGAGCCAAAAAAAAAGCTAATCTATAAGGCTTAAGAGTTTTCAAACATAATACAGGAAATATCCTTATGACTTTGGGATAGGGAAAGATTTGTTAAACTAGTCATGACTAGTGCCAGTGTTAAAAGAAAAGATTGATAAATTTTACTACATTAAAATTAAGAACTTCTGTTCATTAAAAGATAACATAAAGAGAGTGAAAACATAAACCTCAGAGTGAGAGGTTAGTGCTCAGATTACAAGAACTATAAGTCAGGCATAGTGGTGTGCGTCTATAGTCCCAGCTACTCAGGCAGCTGAGATAGGAGGATCATGTGAGCCCAGGAGTTAGGCTGCAGTACACTATAATTGCATCTGTGAATTGCCACTGAACTCAAGCTTAGATAACTTATCAAGACCCCATCTCTTTAAAAAAGAAAAAACCCTACAAATCAATATTTTTTCAAAAAGACAACCTAATTCAAAAATGAGCAAAAGATTTAAGTGTCTTAATTAAAAAGATACAAAGGTAGAGCTGAGAATGGGAGAAGAGCAGAGTTTCTGAGCAGCACAGCGGCCTCCCCTCCTCTCTCCTCACCCCACTCTCGCAGCCTACCTTTACCTACCTGCCTGCTCAGTGCCCAAAACACCTTCCACCATGACCACCTCAGCAAGCTCCCACTTAAACAGAGGCATCAAGCAGGTGTACATGTCCCTGCCTCAGTGTGAGAAAGTCCAGGCCATGTATATCTGAGTCGATGGTACTGAAGCAAGACTGTGCTGCAAGTCCCAGACCCTGGACAGTGAGCCCAAGAGTGTGGAAGAGTTACTTGAGTAGAATTTTGATGGCTGTAGTACTTTGAAGGTTCTAACAGTGACATGTATCTCATGCCTGTTGCCATGTTTTGGGAGCCCTTCCGCAAGGACCTCCACAAGCTGGTATTCTGTGAAGTTTTCAAGTGCAATTGAAAGCCTGCAGAGACCAATTTGAGGCACAACTATAAATGGATAATGGACATGGTGAGCAACCAGCACCCGTGGTTTGGCATGGAGCAGGAATATAACCTCATGGGGACAGATGGGCACCCCTTTGGTTGGCCTTCCAGTGGACTCCCTGAGCCCCAGGGTCCGTATTACTGTGGTATGGGAGCAAAGTCTATGGCAAGGATATTGTGGAGGCTCATTACCGGACCTGCTTGTATGCTGGAGTCAAGATTGCAGAGACTAATGCTGAGGTCATGCCTGCCCAGTGGGAATTCCACATTGGACGCTGTGAAGGAATCAGCATGGAAGATCATTTCTGGGTGACCTGTTTCATCTTGCATCGTGTATGTGAAGACTTCAGAGTGATAGCAACCTTTGATCCTAAGCCCATTCCTGGGACTGGAATGGCTCAGACTGCCATACCAACTTTCGCACCAAGGCCATGCGGGAGGAGAATGGTCTGAAGTACACTGAGGAGGCCATCAAGAAACTAGGCAAGTGACAGCAGTACCACGTCTGCATTTTTGCCCGGCCTGGCACCTAATCGGATTCCATGAAACTTCCAACATCAGTGACTTTTCTGCTCTTATAGCCCATCATAGTGCCAGCATACACATTCCCCAGACTGTTGGCCAGGAGAAGAAGGGTTACTTTGAAGATCACTGCCTTTCTGCCACATGCGACCCATTTTCGGTGACAGAAGCCCTCATCTGCCTGTGTCTTCTCAAACCGGAGTTGAGCCCTTCCAGTACAAAAACTAAGTGGACTAGACCTCCAGCTGTCAAGCCCCTCCTAGTTCTTCCTCTCACTCCAACTCTTCCCCTCTCCCGATTGTCCTAATTGTAACTCAAAGGATGGAATACCAAGGTCTTTTTTTTTAATTCCTTGTGCCCAGTCAATCTTGCTTTATTTGTTTGGCTGGGATAGAGGGGTCACATAATTAATTTCTTCACATCTTTACCCTCCTTTTTTTCCCTATCACTGACGGTTTTTAGTACATTAGTGGGGAGGTGGGTGGTGAAACATAACCACTGCTTCCATTTAATGGGGTGTGCCTGTTCAGTAAGCGTAGCTATGGGAACAGAGTGCATGTTTGCAGGATGGGGACTTTTTCTTTGAAGTACCTGAGAGGGGAAGACCTGACTTAACTCTGGTTAGGTTAGGACTTCCCTTTGTGGTGGAAATGTTTCTTAAGAGGTTATAACCAACTTTCTATTAAAATTAGGGATTAAGAGAGAAGGTAGGGATTGGGGATCAGGGAGGAGAATGGCCTTGGTCTCTTGCTTGTGTGGAACTAGCCTGGCTTGGGGTGAAATGCCCTCAGAACACAAAGCTCAGTATACACTGATGGATATCCCTACCTTAAAAAAAGAAAAGGTTCTTTTTGCTTGGTCCTCTATTTATCACACAAAACAGAGCAGTATTTTTATATTTAAATGTAAAAACAAGGGTGGGGTGCGGTGGCTCACACCTGTAATCCCAGTACTTGGGAGGCCAAGGCAGATGGATCACGAGGTCAGGAGATTGAGACCATCCTGGCCAACATGGCGAAACCCTGACTCTATTAAAAATACAAAAAATTAGCCAGGCATGGTGGCAGGCATCTAGTCCCAGCTGCTCAGGAGGCTGAGGCAGAAGAATCGCTTGAACCTGGGAGGCGGAGGTTGCAGTGAGCTGAGATCATGCCACTGCACTCCAACCTGGGCGACAGAGCAAGACTCCGTCTCCAAAAAAAAAAAATGTAAAAACAAAAAGTTTATATATATGGTTTTGTGTCTTATGTGTGTTTTGCTAAAGGAAAACAACATACAGGTCACGGGGTACCAAATTCGAGGCAAATAGTCTAGATCGAAATCAAGTAGCTCCTTTTGAGTAAGGAATGAGGAAAGTAGTGCTTGAAAAGTTGTTGATTTGCGGTTAGTCCCTCATGACCACTTTAGGGTTTCTGTGCCCTGCCCACCCTCTGGAGAAGATGAATACTGGTCAGTTAACAGATGACATGTTACTAGCAGTCACTTGATCCCCATGGCTTTGGTTTAAAAGACATATACTTGTCCACATGAGTTTACAGGTAAGAGTTAGCTGGTCAACTTGAGCATGTTACTGATAGAGGGGATATTGGGGTTATTTTCTGGTGGGAATAACATGTCACTAAAGCAGGCCTTTTGATATATTGAATTTTAAAAAAACAAAATAGAAGTTAGATTTTAAAATCTAAATCTGTAGGGTTTCTAAGTAATTTTTACAGAATTGCTTGTTTGCTTTAACTGTCTCCTCCCTCTGCTCTTGAAGGATATGGGGACAGGGCTAGAGTCAAAACACTTGAAATTTTGTATCCCAATGTCTTTTCTCCCAGTGTGAAATATTCCATTCTTTTGTTAAGACTACTGAGGAGTTATTTTTTTCTTTTGTAATAAGAAACAAACCCTACCTTTATCTCTACATTTCCCCTACCATTCTCTGGTTTTTGTGTTTGCTGCAGGGGGCCA